CCTCTGCTTCCCCCCATTTCTTGCTTCCTCTTCTCCTCCATTTACCTGAGCTCCCTTTTGTGGCCTCATGCTCCAAGCTCCTTGCCTCCTGACCTAGGGTGCTTCCCGCTCCCCCCAAGCACAGTGCACACCCCTAAAGCCTACCCCGCTGTTGCTTTTCTACTCCTCTGCCCTGGGAACTCACTGCAGCCTCCTCCCACTAGCAGATTTCCCAGGAAAACCCCAGTAAACAGCAGTACCTGCTTCTGCCCTTCTCCCCCCCCCACACACATTTTCTTTAAATCAGGGGTTCTTAAATGTCATTGATCCGTGACCCCTACCTGACAACAAAAATTACGACATGACCCCAGGAGAGGGCAGGGGCAAGCCTGCAATCTGAACACTCATGCCATGGGCTGAAACCCTGAAGTTTTGGGTGGGGCTCGGGCTTTGGCCCTGAGCCCTAGCAAGTCTAAGCCAGTCCTGGGAACCCCAATAAAATGGCATTGCAACCTATTTTGGGGTCCTGACCTACAATTTGGAACTGCTGCTCTAAACCAAACCATCCCCATGCCACTGGTTACCAGGAACCCTCCTTGTGTTTACTGGCTAATAGTACTGAGGTTAACCAGTTAACTGGTTAATCTTTATGTTTATCAGTTAACTGCTTAAACAGGGAAGGCGGGGCCTGGGGGCTGCTCCCATCCAGCCAGGCCACCTTATTACCAGTAAGCATCCCGATAAGTGGGGATCCCTCAGAGTAGCTTTGGAGGAGAAGAGAAGGAAAGGGAGGGGCACATCCTCAGCCATGCCCCTCCCCCAACTGAAGGGAAGCATGCCGTGGCACATCTCAACCCATTCCCCTCCTCCCCCAGTCTGCACTGTTCACCAGGCACAGCAGATGGGATGCTGCTCCCGTTAGGCAACCCAGCAGGGGGAGCACACTGCAGTGTTTGTGTGGGGAGGATCACACCTGGAAACAGCATGTGTGCTTCTCCCCAGGTCCCTGACTCAAAGATGGGAATTCCCACTCCCAAGAGAGGCGAAGGGGACGACATCTCCCAGCTGCCAGCCAGCCCCAAGCTGGCAGTGAGTTCCCAGCACGGAGTGTGGCACTGAGCCCCCTCACTCCCAAAGATGACTGTCACAAGCAGTGATGAGTGGGGGGTGCACAGCCTCAAAGCCAGCTGAAATAGCTGCCTGGGCTACTTGAAGCAAAACCTGCAGGTGGCAGGACTGGGGAGGGGGCAAAAACCAAGACTGGAGACTCCTAGAGTAGTGTCTTGCATAAAAGGCCAGTTTGTGCCTCTCTGCTCTCCACCCCTAATCAACAGTCCCAGAGCTGGAAGGGGGTGCGGGTGGCAAGAAGAAGTGCTGCCTTTGACCCAGGCAGGCAGCCGGCCCTGCACAAGCAGCACTGACTGCCAGAGTGGTGGTAGGTTTGGATAGCACAGAGCTGGCACTATAGCGCTATGCATGGAGGGTGCTGGGCAGCAAAGGAGAGCCCGAGCCTCTTGACAGCAGCGCGCTGGGTGGTAGCACCAGTCACCTACCCCTAAGGCCAATCCTGTAAGCGAATAACACTGTGTTGTGGTGCTCACAGCCTGCTCCTGTGAGGAGAAGACATGCTTGTCTTCTGAATGTAGAAGCAATACTACTGCAACTCTTAAATTGGTAACAGGAGTGAACAGCCAACATTGGAAAACCATTGGAGGATTAAAACTCTCAGAACTTCTCTTAGAATGGGGTAGACTTTATTATTTTACCACGTGTTCCCTTGTTCCCACTTCCCTTCAGCACCCTGGCAAACAACCTTTTCTCCTCTTTTTATGAATGCATGGTTTAGGTCAGGGGTGGACAATAACTTTTAATGGGAGGGCCATGCCAAGATTTTGGTAAGTGGTCGAGGGTTGCATTCTGTGCAGTGGACGCGGGTGCAGTGTAGAAGGGAGTTTGAGATAGAGGACTGGAGTGCGGGGGTGGTCTGAGATGGAGTTTGAGAGAAGGGGGGGTTATGATCTGGGGCAGGGGTTTGGGGAGCAGGGTCCAGGAGAGGGTATGGATACAGGAGAGGATTCTGGCCTGGGGGAGGAGCCTAGGAGGGTGTGCAGGGTCTGGGAGGGTGTTGTGACCTGGAGGAGGTGGGAAGAGAGGGATGCAGAGGGTTTGGGTGGTGGTCTGGAGCAGGGATTTGTGGCGAGAGAGAGGGGCTAGGGCAGTGTTTCCATTTTATTTGTCCACGGAACCTTTTAAACTCGGAAGAATTTCAAGGAGCCCAAGGGAAACTAATGATCACATGCTAAATAAGGTTATGAGATGAACATTTAGTTTAATTGCACATATTTAAAAACAAAAATCACATTTAATGTGTACAAAAAAATAATGCTAAAAAACTAATATGAATTGTATTGGCAATTTTCAATGTGGACAGTGGTTTTTCTTCTTTTCTTGGAAAATTCTTTTTATATTTTGTTTAATACTAAAAAGTTGGATTTGCATATTTGACGCTGCATTCAGATGATTTCTGTATTTTGTTTTTGTTTCTGCATAATTCAAAAACCCAGTTTCACACAAGTATGTGCTGGTGAAGGTTAATAACTGACGAATTGCATGTCTTGATAAAGCTGAATATTCTTGAGATAAGCCGCCCCCTTTAAATTTTTTTATTAATTGGCCATCTGAAGTGATTTTGATTAGGTTTTCATAATCTTGCATAAAAATACTGACTGGCTTTCCTGTTATACTTAATGGATTTCAAATCCAGTTATTGTTGTCATTTATGGTTGGAAAATACTTCATTATGTTTGTGTATAAATCACAAAGATGATCTGCAATGTCCTGGCCAGGAAGAAGAGTACAGGTGAAAGCTTGGGGAAGAGTTGTCTGACCAGGAGGGGGTCTTGGGGCAGGTTGTCTGGCCAGGAGGGAGGGTACAAGAGGGGTCTTGGGGCAGGGTGCCTGGCCAGAAGGGAGGGGACTTGTGGCAGAGTGTCAGAGAAGCTGGAAATGCGGGCTCTTGGTGTGGGGGAGGGGAGTGAAGGGGATATGGATGCAAGGGCATGAGGGGGGACGCTTACCTGGCTTGGCACCCTGCTGTAGCAGGGAAAGCCTCCAGGCAGCATGCTCTTGTTCCTGGATGGGAGGAGGGGGGAGCTTAGTCTCCCCTCCCTTCCCTGCCCGTGCAGTGGGGAACCCAGCTGCAGCACCAGGCCATGTTTCCTGTTGGCAGGGCGGAGGGAGGGAGAGGGTATAGAAACCCTGACCTTCCCCGCCAGATCAAACTCTGCCACTTCCCCAGCAGGCTGGGGAGGGGCGCTGGGGAGAGAGAGCAGCAGCACATGGGGGGCAGCAAGCTCGAGTGCGCCCCAAATGGGGGTGGGCAGCAGAGCCCGAGCCGGGTTCCACGCAGGCAGCAGGTAAAAAACACACCGAGGTCCGAAAGCAGCTCCTCGGCTCTGGCCACTCCTCCCTCGCCCCCCCTCCCCGCCTCCAGCAGCAGCAGCCGCCACTGTAAAAGCTGCCGCCTGCACGTGAGGCTGCAAGGCACCAGGATAGGACAGTCCTGCAGGGTGAGGAGAGGCCGCGCCATGCGCGGAGGTGAGGCAGCGGCAGGGGGTGGTGGAGCGGCCAAAGCCATGCACCCTCAGAAGCCCATCCACTCTGGGAAAGCCCCAATGGGATCTGCCTACGGGTTCTGCAGGGGGCGGGGGAGCAGAATTTTTTCACAGAACCCCGAGTTCCACTTCGTGGAACCCCAGGGTTCCACGGAGCACCATTTGGGAAACACTGGGCTAGGGTGTCACAGGCAGGCTCTGGCTGGGAGGGGCTTTCCTAGGAGGCTCCCGGCCAACAGAACCTGAGACAGACTGTTCCACTTGGCTGTGCTCCATCATGGGGAAGAGGGAGGGAGGAGGCTTTGCTCGCTGGCCCTGCCTTCAGGAAAATTTCTCAGCTCCTATTGCCCAGAAACTGCAAGGAGCCAGGAGTCAGGTGACAACACAGTGGCAACGATTCTCTAGACACTAGTGTTAATTGGTCCTAAACAGAAAGCCCTGTTAATCCAGAAAGTAAGATATCAGAACTTTGCTGTATGGGTGGCCAGAGCATGAGTGCTAGGTCAATGTGTAGAGATTGATCTCGTTAAATAAATTAATCTTTGCCTCACTTTTCATGGGTGAAATTCCAGAGGGTGTAACATTGAATGAGTATTGGCTTTCAGAGATAAGATGAGCAATAGGAAAGCACTGAAGTTTTAATGCACTGGAAATAAGCATTTAGCAAAACAATACAACATTTATATGCAAAAAGATTTCAGGACTACATCAGCCTGTTCTTTGAAGCTGCTTTCGTTGAATCAACATTCATTGTACCTGGACTATTTTTTTTTAAACTGTCAAGGTGAATCTGTTTCCTTACATATGCTTGACACTACTCAAAAACTAGGGGAAAACTGGGAGGTGCGGTACTGTCTGAAGGACTGTAGCAAGGCTGTTCTCTTTTCATGCTTCTTTTAGCTCTGCAAAGAGCAGCCTCGTGTCACACCAATTGTGGTTTGTCACCGTTCTTTCACTGATCATATTGTCATAAGTGCAGAGGATTCTAATGTTCTGTCCTACTGATTTTAACCCAGTTTGTACCAGATTTGAACTTGGTTGGTAACCAGAGCAACCAGTTGTGTTTCATTCTTGTCAGTAACCAAGCTAGAGCCTGATTGTCTTCCTATAATAAGTTCATAAGTTTATTGAATGGACAGGATTCTCTCCATTGGCTGGCTGGGCGGCCTTCCTCCTAGCTCTGTGGTTGGCTGTCCAGAATGCATTGTCCCATATGCTCTGATACTACAGTGTATGTCTCCTCCAGACACGCTATTACGTGCTGAAGGAGAGTGTTTAGCTGTTAAGATCTTAGCTGTACATGTTCTGCGGAGAGTGGCTTGGTAGCACGTTTCAGGCATCGCTTCTTCAATGCAGGAGTCGTGATGTGGCTGTATATATGTGTAACATAGTTTGTTTGATTTACAGTACAAAAAGGAAGGCCAAAATGTAACCAGTTACTGCCATGAGACCTTCCCAGGATGGGTGCATGACGTGCTGGGCCATAATTGGGCATGTTTCATTGGACAGAAAATTTCTCCTTCTCCCTCCAGCATTCGTGTGAATCAACTCCCTCTCCAGAAACCAAGTGGAAAGTGAGTACAGAGTGAATGGAGGATGACTTTTTATTTTGAAATACAGTGACAGCAGCACTTGTGCTTTAAATTCCAGATTAAAACGTGTGCACTGGCTCCAGGGCAAGATACAAGATATAGTTTCACAGCAAGTTTGTGGCCCAAGTGAACTAAATTCCTTAGGCCTTGGGGGAAGCAAGTAGTGGTGATGGGGCAGTTCTGTGGATAGGTTTTTCATTTTCTTCAGATATAGCATGCCGTCTTTACTTTCAGATATAATCACAGTCAAAATGGAAAGCTACATTTCATCTGTTTAAAAAAGATCTGTATGAAAAGTGTTGAATCTGTAGCAATAAGGATGTCTACAATTAGTCTAAGTTAAGTGTTGTCCAATGCTAGCCATTCATTTCCACCTGCTAGAGGCTAAATGGTGAATATCCTTGCTTTTCAATTTAAGGGTTTACTGTGAACACTGGATGTTATGGCCTTGATCAAGCTTTATATTGAGATGTGATCCACAACTTGAAAAAGTTGGGGAACCTCTGTCTAAATAACCTGGTTTGCTTGTCCAGTTGGCTGCCGGGATATAGTCAAACTTTGAACCATAATGGAGCATCAACCCAGTCCTAGCAAAATAGAAGGATTTAGCGTGAAGATCTAAAGCATTGGATTTGGGAGTTTGAAAGAATAAATTTAGTAAATGGTCATCCCTGCTCTCTGAAAATCCAGGCAATAGAGGAAGAGTCTGAATCTGAAATCCATAATACCTTTCAGGCAAATGGTCTCATGGGACTACGTAAAATAAAAGGGGAGGAATGACTGGCTTCATATTTCTTTTTTCCCCACTTCATGAGCCAAGTGTACTCTTAAAAAACACTGCACCAGCGCTGCTATGGTGCTTTAATGTGGATAATCCAAGCCAACTGGAGAGAGCTTTCCCATGGGCATAGTTAATTTACCAATCTGACAAATGGTAGCTATATCAACAGCAGCACTGTCTACACCAGGGGTTAGATTGATATAACTACATCACTCTGAGTGTATTTTCATACCCCTGAGCAATGTAGTTGTAGTGAGTATCATAGAGCCTTCCTATATGTAGCACAGAGCCTCCCTTGCAGCTGGCTTACAAGAGCCTTCTCCTAACTGAGGCTATGTCTAGACTGCAGAATTATATTGGAAAAAGATAAGCAAATTTGTGTATCTACACGGGGCCAAATTTCGGAAAAACCTCCTCTTTCGGAACATCCCTTCTTCCTCATACTATAAGGAATACAGAGATGGCAAAAGAACGCATCCGCTTTTTCAGAATCTTTCAAAAAAGTGGATGCTTTCCTTGGATGTGGCATAGCTTTTCCGGGATACAGGAGGTAGACAGTTTAGACATAGCCTGTGTGTTAAGTTGTCTGATCACAGCAGTTGTGTGATTAGTGAGTGGCCCTCAGGCCAAACTTTTTTCTTATTGTCCTGTTTCTGATTGTCTGCAGGTTTTCCAGGAGGCCCTATGTACACAACTTTGACTTTGTGAAAGCCATCAATGCTGTTCAGAAATCCTGGACAGCTACAATATATAAGGAATATGAAACTCTCACCCTGGAAGAACTAACTAGAAGAGCTGGAGGTCCCAAGTCCAGAGCTCCAAGGTATTAAAGTTTTCCTATTTAGGTCATGCTTTCTGGCACAACTGTCCTGCTTGTGATCCCATTGTGCTTGTATACATTTTTGGCCCTCACACCTATCTATATCTCATTTTGCTGGTAGTATTTGTTCCCTGGAATAATGATGACATGCTAGAAATATGAATCCTGAAAATTGTGCCCTGGTGTGATGGTCACTTCGGGCTGCTGATGCGAATTCCCCATTTGTGTGTGTTGGAGCCGTGTTGGTCTCAGGATATTGCAAGACAAGGTGGGTGAGGTAATATCTTTTACTGGATGAACCTCTGTTGGCAAGAGAGACAAGCTTCCGCGCTTACACAAAGCTTTTCTTCACATCTGTACACTTGAAAGCTGGTCTCTCTCCCCAACAGATGCTTATCCAATAAAAGATAGTACGTCACCCATCTCGTCTTTCTAATGTGAATGCTCTGATTGTGGCCCTGCTCTGTGAATCCTAGTATATTGAGAGCATGAATCTTTGCCACTAGAAGAGGAGGGTAAATCTTAATGCTAATATCCTGCTGTTTAGATCTCACTCCACTCTGAGTTTGGGGGTTTTAATCTTGGCATGTGTATCCTGATGCCAATCCATGAATGTAGTGGAGTTTGGAAATAAAATCTTTGTGGGGGAGGAGGCACCATTGTCAGGAGAGTGCTGTGGTCAAGAGGCAGGGTGTGCCTGGGGTGTGAGGTCATGAAAGGGAGCTTGTGGGGCAGGCAAAGGATGGGGGAGATTCCTCTGCCACTTTGGGCTGGGCCCCACCCACTTTTCCAAAAGTTTCCACCCACTTTTCCAAAAGTTTCATCTCCTTTGGGTTCCCCAGAGTGATCTGACACCTTGGGCAGTTGCCATGGCTCTTACCACAGTCCAGCTCTGGTTTCTGGTACAGGGGGACTTCCGGGGAGAGGAAGAGCAGGGAATGAGGTTCCATGGTGAAGGGGGGTGTGGTGGGCCCAAAAGTTCTTATGCTTAGGGCCCCAATCTTAATCTTAATGCACCTCAACTGTTAGGAAATAGTCTATGGAAGCAAAATTGCTGGAGGTGTCAGTTCCTTATGAAGTCTCTTTTCCTCTGTCTCAGCTACATGATATGTTATTGTCAAATGTATGTTTTTGTGTTTTAGACCGAAGCCTGCACCACTAACACCTGAAATACTCAAAAAAGTTTCAGCTTTGCCAGAATACTGGGACTGGAGGAACATTAATGGTGTCGACTATGTCAGTCCTGTACGAAACCAAGGTACAAGGGTTTTCATAGTCTCCACAATGCAAAAAGTATCTTAATCTGTTCACATACTGGTATCACGAAAGGTCTGAATTTGCTTTGCTCTGTGGTCCCCTACAGTAGGCAGTAAAACACACCTGATATACGAACCTTCTATGAGGGCTTGGAAAATATTTTGGCTCTGACTGCCTTCTGCTTTGGCAGGAAGTATTTTGTCCTGTCAGACCATACAGTTCAGTACAGGAATGAAAGTCAATTACCGTGGCGCTCTGTATGGAAATCACTAGCACATTCTGTTTGTCCAAACTGTCATTGTGATGAATTTCTACCCACCACAATCTCAGAATTGATACAGTGCAAGTTCAGTTATTAATTTTTCTGCTAATTGCTGCTGACAGCATATTATCATACAATTTTAACCAATAATCCCTTGAAGGCTTGTTTATACCACCCTCAAGTCTCATTACTGAAATTATTTTAGGAATAATTAGTTACATGACTGATAAGTTTCTGTGCTTTGAAAAGCACAGACACTGGTAAACATCTGATACCCCCAAAAAAACAAAATGCAATCATTCTAAATGCTTTCTCCTCACTCCTACACTGATACAGACCTTCCTTAGTTAGGTTTAAAGGTATAGTCATACTATTATTTATTTGTATTGGTTCAAAATCTTCTCTTGAGGTAAATGAAATGAAGTGCTGCTATATAATTAAATTGTTTCTAATCCATAGCTCCCTTTCCAATGCATGAGAAATTTGGTGTGTGTGTTTACTGAAGAATTTTTTTGAGGGGGTGAGAAGGGAGAGGATTTTTAGGTGGGAGAGGAGAGTGGGGAAAGAAGGATGATGAGCAAGGTTGTGAAATATGAAAGAGCTGGTTCATAATCTGATCTATTGCTGAATGAGTACAGGAAATATTGAAACACTTAGGCAGGAACTGCCAGCAGCTAACTGGTGTGAAGACCTGTGCTTCATTTGTACCTTTCAGTTCACTTGAGAAATCTGGTATCATTCCTTCTTCATTAAGTGGAAAACAAGATCTAAGGTTTCCTCTTCCTGAAGTAGGATTGTAAACATGTTCTCAGTAAGGGGAATCTTCCTTTGCTGCCTTCAGTAATAGGAGCTGCCCAAACCCCCTCGTGTTATGTTGAGAGAGCACCTCAAAAACAGTGTAAAGGAATTCAGGCAGAGTGGGTTTCATGTAACATTCAGCCATAAATGAGTATCTTTGGTATGCTAAACAGCCTAAAGACAGCATTATTAATATGACACATTTCAGAGGGGTAGCCATGTTAGTGTATGTCAGCAAAAACAATGAGGTGTTCTCTCACACCTTGAAGACTAATAAATTTAGTTGGGCATAAGCTTTCTTGGGCTGGAGCTATGCCCAACTAAATTTATTAGTCTTTAAGGTGCAATGGGACTCCTCATTATTATTAATGTGCACAATGCTGACATACCAAGTAATCATCTTTCTTACAATAATGGGCTGTTGTAGATTTGCACAGACATCAGATATCAATGGCTGTAAATAGTTATTAGTAAAACAATGGCATAGTATTAAGATTTAGATGCTGAACATTTGAAAATGCCCAGGAGACTAACAGAGCCATGAGCAAAAGAAGCATGCGTTTCCAAATAGCTAGTTGTATTTTCAAAGCCACTACCATTCTCCCAAATGAACATGGAATTTCATAGGAACAAAAGTTAATAGTCTTTGAAGCTATTCCTTCAGAATTACTGGGCAGGCCCCCAGCCACCGTTTTCTTGGTTTGTACTTCTCCTTTATATCTATTCTAATACATCAGCATTCCCCAGTGTAATCAGGCACCTTTTTTTAGGTAACCTCCTTTATTTGTTATTTAGTACAGTAGCTGAATTACTGTATACTTTAATACCAGCTAACACTTTAAGAGGCCAAGGCCTGGTATACACGAAACACTTAGGTCAATGGAAGGCAGCTTACATCAGCCTAATTATGTCAAGTATCAGAGGGGTAGCCGTGTTAGTCTGAATCTGCATAAACAACGAGAAGTCCCATGGCACCTTATAAACTAACAGATTTATTGGAACATAAACTTTCATGAGCAAAGACCCACAAAACAAAGACCCATCTGACGAAGTGGGTTTTTGCCCACGAAAGCTTATGCTCCAATAAATCTGTTAGGGTACGTCTACACTACAGCGCTAGTTCGAACTAACTTAGTTCGAATTAGTTAATTCGAACTAAGCTAGTTCGAACTAACGCATCTAGAACTAAAAACTAGTTCGAACTAGCGTTTTGCTAGTTCGAACTAGTAAGTCCACATTGAGTGGACTCTGAACAGGGCTTAAGGATGGCCGGAAGCAGTGCCGGCAGGGCATAAAAGGAGGACTTAGAGCATGGAGATACTGTCTCAGGCTAGCCGAGGGCTGCGCTTAAAGGGTCCCGACCCCCACCCCGGACACACAGTTCTAAGGGGTGCCCCGCTTGCAAAGAAGTTCTGGCTTGGAGTGCCCTGAGTGCCCACACTGGGCACATCACACCACTCGGCCATCAGCCCGGCTGCACTTGCCGCAGGCTGCCATCTGGGGAGAGGGAGTAATTGGGGGGCTGCAGGAGAGCTTCCACCCCCAGAAGCCCGCAGAGCCAGCCCAGTCCTCCCCATCGGGGGCTCGTACCCCATTCCTCCCTCACCTCCTTCCACTTACCCTTCCCTAGCCCCCCTTCTTATTGATGTACAAAATAAAGATAACGTTTCTTCCAACATTGACTCTGTCTTTATTGAAAAAAACTGGGGGAGACTGGGAAAAGGAGGTGGGAGAGGGGAAGAGAAAGGCTGGGAGAGGGGAGGGCAACTAACATGATCAGGGGTTGGGAACAGGTCCCAGATGAAGAGAGGCTACAGAGACTGGGACTGTTCAGCTTAGAAAAGAGGAGACGGAGGGGGGACAGGATAGAGGTCTCTAAAAGCAGGGGTTGGGTGGAGAGGGTGCATTCAGAAAAGTTCTTCATGAGTTCCCATAAAGAAGGACTAGAGGACACCAAAGGAAAGGAATGGGTAGCAGGCTTGAAACTAGTAAGAGAAAGTTGTTCTTGACAAAGCAAATAGTTAACCTGTGGAACTCCTTGCTGCAGGAGGCTGTGAAGGCTACAACTAGAACAGAGTTTAAAGGGAAGTGAGATCAAGTCATGGAGGTTGGGTCCATGGAGTCCTATTAGCCAGAGGGTAGGAGTGGTGTCCCTGCCCAAAGTTTGTGGAAGGCTGGAGAGGGATGGCACGAGACAAATGGCTTGATCACTGTCTTCGGTCCATCCCCTCCAGGGTCCCTAGGGTTGGCCGCTGTTGGCAGACAGGCTACTGGGCTAGATGGACCTTTGGTCTGACCCAGTACGGCCATTGTAAGCTCAGGGCTCAGGGTCGGGGGTCTCAGTGGACCCCCTTGATTTTCATGCACACCTGGTCCTGGGTGGCCAGGCTGGCAGCTCTCCTGCCCTAGACGGCCACTTTCCTGTGCCTAGTGCAGAGATCGTGGACGCAGGCTTGCACCTGGCACGGGCACCGTAGCCAGCCCGTGCCCCTTTAAGGGGTCCGGGGCCGGGAGGGGGGCATAGAGTTTCCCTGGTGTTGGCCAGAGTGGCCACCAGGGAAACCTGGGAAGCCTTAGCCTCCCACTAGTTCGAACTAAAGGGCTACACAGCCCTTAGTTCGAACTAGCTAGTTCGAACTAGGCGTTAGTCGGCTTGCACCTGGCACGGGCACCGTAGCCAGCCCGTGCCCCTTTAAGGGGTCCGGGGCCGGGAGGGGGGCATAGAGTTTCCCTGGTGTTGGCCAGAGTGGCCACCAGGGAAACCTGGGAAGCCTTAGCCTCCCACTAGTTCGAACTAAAGGGCTACACAGCCCTTAGTTCGAACTAGCTAGTTCGAACTAGGCGTTAGTCCTCGTAAAATGAGGTTTACCTAGTTCGAACTAAGCGCTCCGCTAGTTCGATTCAAATTCGAACTAGCGGAGCGCTAGTGTAGCGCATAGGAAAGTTAGTTCGAACTAACGTCCGTTAGTTCGAACTAACTTTTTAGTGTAGACATACCCTTAGTCTGTAAGGTGCCAGAGGACTTCTTGTTGTTTATGCTTATTATGTCAGTGTTACACCACAGCCTTACTCCACTGATGTCAGTGCCCTACTACACTGGCATAACTCCACCACCAGGAGAGGTGGACCTCCTAGGTGGAGCTGTGAAATTTAAATAAAGGCTAGTAGGTCCACTGCTGTGAACCCGGCACCTGTTTCACAGCTCGGGCTGTCATTCTGGGGTGGGAGAAAGACAGCTGGGCTGCCGTTTGGGTTCTGGGCCCTAAGCTCCCTGCTAGGAGAAGGGAGCTGAGAGCTAGGGAGATGGGACAGCTGGGCACTCGGCCCCCTCTCTGCCCCTCTTACGTTGATGGAAACGCTCCCGCTGAAAATGCACACCACTGTGAGAAGGAGGGCAGTGTGGATGTGAACCATTCTGTGCAATAATGACTGGAGTGGCTGTAAGTTGACCTGATGTAGTGTGACATAAGTGTGCAGTGTAGATGTGCTCAAAGCTCAGTTTGAAACTAGAAGCAAACAGCATGAACAGGAACTCTAATATAAATTAGGCTTCAATAAACTCAATGTCCCCCTTTCCCCACTCACTGCCACTTTACATATCTTCTGCAGAAGAGGATGCATTGTTTGAAAGGATGCATTGCTGTCATCTGTTGTTTGCCGTCTGTTTCTGCTGTGGGCAATTACATGACAATAAGTCATTTAGCTTAGAGAGCTAGGATTCCCAGTAAATCTATGCTCTGGCTCCTGTAATCTTCCTCTCAAACCAGAACAGGTGGAAAAATATAGTGACCTACTGATCTTTACCTTCTAAAGGTGTTTTATGCCCTTTAAATCATTTTTCATCATTTAATGATCCTTTTGACACAGTCTCCTAATGCAGTTAAGTCTGTGATTGATTTGGAATTGAATTTGTGGAGAACATTGGACATGAAACAGTTCAGGCAATTATCTCTGATCTCCACTGATTTTTTTGTTTCTTTGTGGGTGTCATATTGAGAGGTTCCCAGAGTATGCTGCTGCTGTTAATGGGAGAATTTTTTTCAAGTTATTTCCAGGATAATGGTTACAATAATGATCTCTTATGTATCTTGGCAAATGAGACCTAACCAGCTGTGGCTTGGCCAATCAGCAAATAATGCTATGATTGTGTAAGAATAGGTTTCATCTTTCACCCACTAGGGTGATCAGAGAGCAACTTCCACCCCCTCCTCTTCAGAGAAGCATCCATCATCAACTCTAACAGTAGAATTTCATAAAGTCCTGCTTTTGTAATAGCCCTGCTTGATGCCCTCCTACACACGGTTTGAGACATGAGGTAGTTTGTTTTTTGTGTTCCCAAAGTCTCATTGCTTTTGTAAGCTTTGCAGAATTTTCCTTTGTTTCATGACAGTGGATAAGTCAATTGGGGTTCGTCAGTGGCAAGGGGTGATAGAATAAGACCTCAGCTACACAATGCTTGCTCTGCAGTGAGACTACTTCATTTTTAGAGATTCTTCTGCATCACAGGAAATACTGAGAGAGGACGAAGGACTACAACTAAAAGGCAACACTACATTTTGATGTAAAATATGCTAGGTGACTTTATCTTGTTGCCTCCTACCAGAGACAATTACTCTGACAAGCCCCAGCGTGTGACTGCATACTGCTTGAGAGAATCTCAAAATCCACAATATTAAAACTTTCATGTACATTTCCAGATGCTAAAATAAGCCATTATTTTAGAAGCACTAGGGTCAGTCAAGTGTTGCACTGTGAAACCATGGCTCTAAATACACTAACATGCTAAGGATATCTAGGCCACATCTATACTAATAGGAAGATTTACTAATACTAAATCAAATGCTGAGGCTGCCCTCATTAGCCATAGTACTCCTCACTGTCGTGAGGAGTAAGGGAAGTTGACGAGAGCATTTCTTCCATTGACTTCTCACTGGGAATGGCACCAAAGCCTGGCTTAAGGTACATCGACTCCAGCTATGTTATTTACATAGCTGGAATTACATATTTTAAGCCGACTTTCTCCCATAGTATAGACTTGATCCTAGAATCTGATTTCCAGAGTTCAACTGGCACAGGTCAAATGACAGGTTTTTAGGAAGGCTTCATAAAGAGTAATCTCAAAAGAGACTTGGTGATGAACAAATATTCTTTATAGGACCATTCAGTGGCGGCAGCTCAGCATTTGTGCAGCTTTTAAAACTAGACAATTAAAGTTAAACTTAATTGTTTTTAAGAAGAGAAACAATATTAAAAAATCTTGTCTTGTTCTTCCTCTTAGGAGACATCAAACTTACTGTATAGCCACAGCTGATCCTTAAAGGGTTTTGTAAATAGTAACTGCAGAAGGACTATTTTTGTGTATACAATGAAGCATATTTAAATAGCCTTTTTGAACTGGTGCCCAACTTGCAATTAAGTAGCAGACAATGTCAAAGCAGAGTTGGATTAATTCAGCAACCTGTGCAATGCAGGGTCACCGCTCTTGCTAGCTCTTATTCTATTTAGTTTACTGATGTATTGTATCTCCTATTCTCCTCAGCATCATGTGGCAGCTGCTATGCGTTTGCTTCTATGGGCATGTTAGAGGCAAGAATTCGTATCCGCACTAACAATTCTCAGAGACCAATCTTGAGTCCTCAACAGGTTGTGTCTTGCAGCCATTATTCTCAAGGTGAGTGCACTGGAGACATTCCCTTATTATTGGGAAATGGGGTTGTAACAGGTTCCCCCGGGATTCCATCTAGAACTGGGGTTTTACTGCACTCTCTGACCCACCAGCCTGGGTTCCTTCTTGTTGTTTGCTGCTGAGAAAAGCTGCAGACCTGCTCCTGGTCTTACCCTCTACCAGCATTCATATAGTAGTGACACACCCAGCTGCAGTTACATGCAAGAACTCTGACCAGTACTTCATGAACTGACACTAGAAAAGCTACAGCCAAGATTATCACTAGTTCTCCAAGCACATACTGTCTCTCCCCCCACCCCCTCATACACATTGGAGTATAAAGGCCAGATTATACAGCCTTACATTGCACAGAGAGCTATATAGCGTAAGGGCATAGAGTTCAGCCTTCCCTCAATGTGGAGTAGGAATGCAATAGAACCTTGAGCTAAAGCAATTCACGCCATACTCACTGGTTTAGATTAATGCATAACATAACATGCATTAACTACACAAAATAAATGGTAACTGCTTATAAGGGATAGCAAACTGATCAAAGCAGATTACCTAGTAAATAAAAACACAAACTAAGATTAACATACTAGAAAGATAGGATTTGAAGTTAACAATCTCTCATACTGATTACACCTGGATGACTGCACAAGCAGGCTGCAGATTCTCAAGGCACAAGCTACACTTGCTTTGCAGTTTGGAATCTCCAGGTTTTTAATACACAGGGTAGAAGTACCTTAGCTTGTGTCCAGTACCCCTCTCCTTTCAGTCTGTGTTCTTGTGTGGGGTGTGAAGAGCAACAGTTGACATGATTCCCTGCCTTATGTAGCGTAGTATATGGTGGGAATCCTTTATCCCAAACTCAGTGTGTGGAAGAACCCTGACCCCACCCCCAGATGGACCTTGTGGAGTCATAGCAGCCATTATTCACTGGCTGTTTGGAATGCTGTCAGGAAGGCTCACCAGGTAGGGGATAAGTTTCTCCTAATGCCTATTGTTTTCCTTAATTGGCTCGTTTTCCTGATTAGGTTCTTCCTAGCCAGCTACCTAGACTGAAGCATCTTGTCTAGTGGGTGTCATACCAGGTGTAACTGCATTTGAAATACAGATACATAGTCTGTATTTATAACTTCAGATGCAGAAATGATACTTGCATATAAATAGGAGCATTGTATTTGGTAAATCATAACTTTTCCAATGACCATCGTAATTACGGCATAATCATATCAAAATATCACAGTGAAGAATATGGGAGGCAGTGTCAGAGGGGGAGGAAACCGCAAGGGTTTTGTCACTGCAGCAGATGAAGAGTTGACAGCCTCTTCTGATTGATTGACAACCATTTTTCTAAGCCAGTCTGGAGCAAGTTTCCTTCATGACTGAAAGAGAGCATTAATTATTAAGTGTCACATGCTTAGGACTACATTTTTATGGTAACTTACTTCTGTGATTCTATAGTAATGTAGATTTAATTCCAGAATAGGTAAGAGTCCAGTTTGCTGGATGCTTTTGAATGTTATATTGGAGTTGAACCACAAGTGGCTTGTTTAACATGAGCTAGTGCAAGTTTCCTTCATGACTGAAAGAGAGCATTAATTATTAAGTGTCACATGCTTAGGACTACATTTTTATGGTAACTTACTTCTGTGATTCTATAGTAATGTAGATTTAATTCCAGAATAGGTAAGAGTCCAGTTTGCTGGATGCTTTTGAATGTTATATTGGAGTTGAACCACAAGTGGCTTGTTTAACATGAGCTAGTGGTCTGTGGAGACTGGCTGCTCATTTGTTGTCTATCTTGCTTCTCCAGATGCTTATGGAGGCATCCAGGCGCTTTGTTGTAAACCGCCTCGGATGGCTGCAGAAAGCAGCTGGAAACAAAGAAAATGAACCTGTTTGGGGGAATGTGCTGCACAGCAGGAGGCTCCCGGAGCTGTAATCCACCAGCAGGGCACCGGGAATGTCTAGGGGGATCAGAGGAGAGTTAGGAGAAGGCTACCAGGATGGGTAGCACATCTAGAGAGAAAGGAACAAAATGTCACCCAAGCGTGTACAGAGGGAGGAAGAACAGATGGGTGTGGGGAGGCAAAAAGCAGACAGTGTGATTCACTTTTGGAAAAAAAGGACATCACCTTGATTGTATATGATAGATGCCCTACATATTTTTTCCCAGTGTTAGTTTCCATTTAAGGAATTGCTGTGGTTATCATGGGGATGTCATATAGTCACAAATGGGTGAGGGGACAGGGAGTTAAAGTCTTCCATCCTATGAGTCTGCTCCAGAGCCCTTTTTCAGGCTGTGAAAGGAATGTGAAGCATTCTATCCTCTTGATCTCAGATGAGAGGTAAAAGTGGCATGTTCCCTTCTAGTTGTAAGCTGCATTAGCCATGTTCAGTCTGATGCAAAATATTGGGGATAATAAAGCCTTGCAGTGATTTTCTTTTTTTAAATGGACTTCAAAATTCTGACCATAACCTGTTTAGAAGACTGGCAGGTTCTTCCTCCATCCCGAAAAGATCTTCTGCAAGGACAACAGGAGTCCTGTGGCCCCTTAAGGACTAACAGATTTATTAGGGCATAAGCTTTCATGGGTAAAGCCCACTTAATCGAATGCATCTTGGTTTTACTCATGAAAGCTTAAACCCAAATAATCTGCTAGTCTTTAAGGTGCCACAAGATTCGTCTTTGTTTTTTGCAGATACAGACTAACACAGCTACCCCTCTGAGACTTCTGCAAGGAGTAACCAGGTGTTTTCTAACTGTTTCAGGCTGTGATGGTGGATTCCCATACCTCATTGCTGGGAAATACGTCCAAGATTTTGGTGTGGTTGAAGAAGACTGTTTCCCTTACACGGCCACGGATTCTCCATGCACTGTTAAGCGGAACTGTTCCCACTACTATACCTCTGAATACCACTATGTTGGTGGGTTTTATGGAGGCTGCAATGAAGCCCTGATGAAACTTGAACTTGTTCTTTATGGGCCACTAGCTATTGCTTTTGAAGTGTATACTGATTTCATGACCTATAGAAAAGGAATCTACCATCACACTGGGCTGCAGGATGAGTTCAACCCCTTTGAGTTGACCAATCATGCTGTATTGCTCGTGGGCTATGGCAAAGATCCAGATACTGGTGAGAAGTTCTGGATAGTGAAAAACAGCTGGGGAAGCTCCTGGGGAGAAAATGGTTACTTCAGGATCCGTCGGGGCACAGATGAATGTGCAATTGAAAGTATAGCAGTGGCTGCAACTCCTATTCCAAAATTATAAAGCAAAACTTTTTCTCCAGTGCCTCATTTCTAAGCAGCAAATTCCTGAGCCATAAGATTGTACTGATTATATTATGTACTTGGAAATTTTTACTGCAGTATGTTAAAGCTTCAAAATGAGTTTTAATGAGATTTTTTTTTAGCACAATGTGAGCAGTTTTCACTCTCTACCACTAAGGACACTTCCAAATTCTGCTTCTTGTTTGATACACAAAGATACACTTCTTATGAACAGAGGCTGGCAGTAAATTCTCTAAGAATGCAATTGTCATTAGATTAACAATGGTGGTTATCCATCATTCTGTAAAGTCCCAATCTTTATTTTCTTCTCCTTGGATAATCTTAAAACCAGATCTTAGAAGGCAATGATTGTTACAATAATCTATAATTACTTAAAGGGACACTTTTTAACATATTGTGCCTTAATCCTGGGAAATCAGGGAAGCATTTTAAAATTGGACATATTAAGTGTGCATCAGAGGGTGATTACACTGTGACTAAAGGGAAATTTTAAAGCTTTAAGTGTTTGGCAAACATGCAAGAAAAATGTCAGATGTCAAACTCTCTGAACTTCAAAGTTTGTTTTACACATTGGGCTTTCACTATATTTATGTGGCTTTTTTAAAAGGTTCCTTTTTAATGAATGTCATTTGAATTCAATTGCAAGCTGATCCTCAATAAAAAAAATCTGACTCTGTTGCTGTAGGAGTTGTTCCTTACTTAAGCTGATGCCTTTTTATTTCCATGAGCTATACCAACAGCTTTAAAATTGAGAAGGGATGTCCAGTTATTTTAGCATAAAGAAGATTTGGGGATCGTCAGAGAAGGAGAATTATAAATCATCTAGCCTTGAGGCAGTTCTTTTGTTTTTTTTATACTGCATGGAGTTGCTCTTCAGTACAAGTGGAGTCTTGTACAGCATGTAGCACAGGGCAGTCCCAATCCATGATTAGAGCTTTTTAGTGGCATCTGTGTGTGTGGATGTGGATAAGGCTATGTGAGCTGTAATCCTCTATCCCAAGGCTACATCTCCACTGGCAGCTTCTTGTGCAAGAACTGTTTTGCGGAAGAGTTCTTGCGCAAAAAGTTTTCCACAAGAGAGCCTCTACACTGGCATGTGCTTTTGCGCAAGAGCATCCATGGCAGTGTAGATGCTCTCTTGCGGAAGAAAGCTCTGATGGCCATTCTAACCTTAGGGGCTTCTCGCGCAAGAAATTCATGTTGCCTGTCTACACTGCCCTCTTGCGCAAGAGCTCTTATTCCTTGTGGGGAGAGGAATAACTCTTCCAGAAGAAGCCCTGTTTTACAACTCTATACTGTAAATGTACTTGCGCAAGAACGTGTGTGTAGTGTAGACAGCCAGCAAGTTCTTATGCAAGAAGCTGCCAATGTAGACGTAGCCCAAGATGTGTTATTTGAAAACCCCTATGCATCTGCTCCCTTATTTCCATGTCCATTTGTTGGTTAAAAAAGGGCATTACTGAAAAGATGTGAGCATAGGCAGTCCTTCTCTCACATAGCTTTTTTTGTGCAACTAGGCAGGAATAATGTGGCAGATGTATAGCAGAGTTCTTACTAATGCAGGATTGTTCTCTACTCTGTCCCCTTATGTGGCTCATACTTTTTACCAGCTATGCAACAGTAAATCTGTGCTGTGCAGAATCATACTCCTTATACCTAAAAAGACCTTCTGTTCACAGTGCCTCTCTGTGTTCTGACAATAGAGGCCCCAACAGAGACACCAATGCGCTTCAGAAACTCTTAGTAAAATGGTCCTGCCTGAAATCTCCCAGTCTTAAGTATACAAGAGAAAGGGTGGAAGAAAGGAACTTTTGCAGATGGGGAATTGAGGCACAAGACTAAGTGCATACCTCTCAACAGTCCCTCAGTGCATAGGAACTCCAAGCCAGGATCAGACTAGAGGTATGTCTAGTTTTAATCAGTGAGCAGCACGAGTTGCTTCAGAGGAAGGTGCGAGAAGATGCAAAAAAAGGCAGATATGGGATAATCTGCCCCAGTTAAAGATTCATCCTAATCCCTAAAATTGGCAGCATCATCAGAGCTGTTTCACACAGAATCAAAACAGGCCAGGGGTCCTCCCTGAGTCATCTGCAGCTGTGCTTTTATTTCTTCCTTTCCTTATTCCTTCTCTCTTTTCTTCCGTCTTTTGAGTCAAGGGAATACAAGCAGACAAGATACTGGATTCCTGCCTCACTCATCCATAACCTGTTGTTCTTTTATCATATTACAGCTTTTAGGTTGTTACATAGGATCTAATCTTTCATAGCCCTTTTCCGCTGTAATAAAATTGGTAAGGCTTGCAGCCCTCCCTCTCGTGCTTGAGCGTGAAGCTATTTAAATGTCCATTTTGTTTGCGTATACAAAAGATGTAACAGCTGGTATACTACAGCAATGCTGCTGAATGCCAGTCAAGCTGTTTTACGTCAGTATACTCAGCAATCCTGTTGGCTTGTTCTTGTCCACTAAAGAACTGCCGCTTACAAGTATTCAACTGAAGTAATGTAATTTTGCAAAGGATGTGTGCCCACGTGAGACCCTGGGACTAGCTGGAAGCTTGGTGGATGTCTTTTTTCTAACACAGCAGTTGCTGTCAAAGTTTTTCATTCTAACCTTTTCTGAAAAAAACTAGCTCCATCCAAATGGAAATTTCCATGAGAAATGTCTAGTTCTGAAAATATTCATTCTTTGGTTACAAAAACAATGTTTTGTTTATATTCTGCTTCCCCTCCCCCCAACTTTAGTTTTTTTGTTGATGTCCTTGAAAAAGTTTGAGTAAAAATGCATTCCAAGATCATCTGAGCTGTGGTACCCGTGCTTTATGGTTAACCTGTTTCACAAGAAATGCTTCATGGATCCAGCTACAATGCATGATGAATCTAAGCACATTCATGAAGTTAGACACACATGTAGCACCAAAGCATGTGCATACAGAAACCAGTGCCCATCACACAGACCAGTTGCTAGAATCTTCTGCTTTTTTTTTTTTTTTAGGACTAACTGATTGGTGTAGGCCAGGAATTTACTCAATTTACCTTAGGGCCAGTGCTAGTCCTCAGATCCTCCTAGCTGGCCAGCAGGTACCCCTCTCTGTCAGGGCTCAGGGAGACAGCAGGGGTCTCTGCAATTCCCTCTTTGTGACTTTCCTGGCCTCAGTTGCTGGCATGCACTCCCCTCTCACACATCCCCTGACTACTCCTGCTGCCCCTCGAGGATTTAAAACCCTCAGGGTGCCCCTGTTTGCCACCACCAGTGGGGCAAGAGCAAGTTCTGGCTGCTAGTCCATGCTGCTGCCAGCACAATCCTGTGGCCCTGGGGAGGTGTGTGCAGAACCATCCTGCCTCCCCTGCCCCATATTTGGGTTAACCCTACTGCGTGGGCTGAGGCTGGCAACAGAGGTCGGGCCCCTCTGTCTTTACCACGGTGGTAGGAACTGTAGAAAAGAGGAGCAACACAGCAGCCTTCTCTGCTTCGCTTCCCCAACGGCTCAGCTGTTGTGAATGCAGGGGGGCCTGACCTGTTACTGCCCCACAACAGGGTCCCCAACAATCCCTGGGGCTGCATCTCTTGGGAGAGGGGCTTGGGGAAAGGTGTGTAAAGGAAGGAGAGAGCAGAGCAGGGGTGGAAAGAGGCAGGATGGGATTGGAGCAGGGTTTGGGCTTGGCGGATGGGTATGGACACTTCCCCACGGGCTGCAGAGACTCATGTGCAGCAGCTATGCAGGGGCTGGATTGTGGAACTACTTGGGCTGCAGATTGCCTGGGGGTTGTGATTTTGAGACCCCCTGGTTTAGCTCACATCAGCACTATCAGTAGTACTGCTGCTGTGCAGAGTTGACACAATTCAGGATACAACTTGCTCCAAGTACTGCACTTGCAGTGCTATGGGTAACGTTATACATATTTGTGCGACTGTGAATGTGAGCTGTGTATTCCAAGTAGAAACAAGCCTTCTTCATTCAGTCTCATGCGCTGAGTCATGGTTTCATGCTTCGTTCAAGGATTCCTGGTCTTTGGCCATCACCCCTGTGTCGCCAGCTCCAAGTGATAACTGGTGTTTTTCTTGAAGTCTCGAGGTCATGTAAATACATCAGCTTTTCAGCTTTCCTTGAAGAAAGAGTTGTATCCCTCAAGGTTGTAGAGGTAAACTTAAAACCAGGAGTGCCTGTTGCTGAAGGTTCAGAAGGCAAATAATTCTAAATGCATTCTAAATCTCATGGGATTTCTCCCGCCATCCCCCAAGCTTGGGGCACTGGTGTGTGTGGGGGGGCGGGAGGGAGGGATCAACATGTCATCTACACCTGCCAGTAAACACTGTTATTGTCCCCTGTATACTAGCATTCCACAGGGACAGCTCCACTGAACTATCGGTAGTTCAATATTGGTGGTCTTCTCAGAATTCAGGGTGATCACAGACTTTCACTCAGAACCAGACCCATTTGTTTTCTTCTGGCTTGCAGCAAGCTGTGTTTAATTATCATATATCCCAAATGTCAAACACTCAGCCCACTTCAGCTATTTATGGGCAGTAGGACTAACTTGGATGCTGTCAATTCTAAGGTTTTGTTAGCCATCATCAGGGATTGTATGCTAAGAATGGAAAGAATGGTCTGCAAGGGACATGTATCAGGACAATATGCTGTCTTCCCAGGACCAGGTTGAGACTGTGAGATTGGAAAGGATTCAGAGAAGGCAAGCAAGGCTCTGCTGGTGATAGTGAATATCAGCGCAGGCGCTGCTCCAGATGGTATCTTGATGGATTATAGACTACTGCAGCAAACTCAGCGATTTCCCCACTTCAGTGGAGTGTTTTCCTCACAGAGCCTTCTTGTACCACAAGCAAAGGAAGAGAAGGATCTGGAGGTGAACCAGTGTCTACATAAGGGGTATAAGATTGAAGGTTCTGGTTTTGTGGAATATTAGGCTTATATACACTAGTAATATATTGACAAAACTTTTATCATTCATGGGTATTTCTTCTCACGCATAACCTCCACTGACAAAAAGTTGTGCTATGGCACATGTGAATGCTGCTTTGTCAGCTGGCGCACTCTCCTACCAATGAAGTAAATGCTGCTCCTGGGAGCTAGATGTATTTTGTCGGCAAAAGTGCCAAAACACAGCATTCATGAGTTCCAACTTTTAGTGACAGAACTATGTGTTGACACAGCTTTGTTGTTAAAAGCTGTGTGGAATAGTAAGTCAGGTGTAGTGTCCTGCAAGGTCTCCTGCTCTGTCGATGATGATAACCAGAAGGCTGCATGCATGTGTGCTCAATCGTGTGCTGTGTTGACTTGCGCAATTATTCAATGCATCGGATTCCAAGAGTCCCCTAAGACCACAAATCAGATAAGGATCGAATGTATCCAGCAACGTTTATTGTTAAGCAAAGTACAGTAATAGTAGTCAGTAGACTCTACTGAACCACTATGAATATGTACCTTATAACAATGGACTCAGCTCCATCAGTGGGCGGTCCCACTGTCCCCTACACTGGACAAAGAGTGTCCCTTCACGACACCACTTTATATACAGGTACAAACAAGTTTCACATCACCCCTGACATATCAGGTTGTCACCCTGTGTTGGTGTAAGGTTACCACCCTCTGACACTACTGAGATACCACCCATCACCCTGCACTTTGTGGCTCAATTAGAACATCTATATCCATCATACTGTCATTTCAGACCCTTTCCTGAAC